AGTCTTAATATATGTCACTAAAAGCATTATAAAGTACTTGTAATATTAACGTATTATTACATTAATCTGAGCTCGCATTTTTTGTCCGATATAAACTCTTGCAAAAAAAAAAAAAAAAAAAAAAAAAAAAAAAAAGCTAACCGGAAAAGGTTATGTCCAAACTACTGAACTTTTGTTTTAAATTAATGTGTTCTAGTGATATCGATTAAAATTTTAAATATAAGTATGAAACCTTTATTTATTTATTTATTTTTATAGCTGGCATGTTGCATACACCATCGGAATATGGAAGAGCAATGAAATAATTGGCCATATGTTGTTGTTTATTGAGTAATTGGTTGAAAAGATTATCTTGTGAACAGAATTATCAGCAATTCACATGCCAAATTGTTTATTCAAGATAATTGAATAGACCAAAAAGCTTGACCTAATGCATAAAGGACACCACAAAAATGTGCGGAATAGTTTAATAATGTTAGGTAGGAAATTCAATAAATTGATTTATAATATTAAGGTAGTGTAAACTACATGAATGATGTTTAATCAAATTTACACTTTCATTCTAACTTTTAAAAATTGATTGATCTCATTTTACGATTTTATCCATTTTCCATATAAAATAAATATATTATCTAATGCTTTAAAAATTGGTTCGAACCACGACCCAGATTTATGAGCAGTTCAATTGTCACCGATTTTATGTTAATTTTTAGATTGGAACGAATCGTACTATAGAAAACAAGTTGAACCGGTGTAATAGAACTAATAAAAAAGTGTTTGAATCGGTTTATTGAATTTGGATATTTGAATTTTCACTTGGTCCCTTAATAACAACAGATCATTTTAAAGCAAATTGAATAGTTCGATTGATGTAAAACTTATAATTATACATTTTATTAATGTATTTTGATTGATCCACCATTATTATTATATGTATTTTTAATGTTTAAACTTGTAAATGTCAAATTCTTGATTTTTCATATATATGTATCCAAAAGGGAAAATGACACGGTAGCACATTAAAGTTTGGTTAATTGTCCAATTTGGTTACTAAAGTAATTTTCGTGCACAATAGACCATTAAACTTGTTATTGACATGTTAATTAAACCATTATTCTCGGATTGAAAAGGTTTCCCGGTTATTATACTCATATGTCACTAATAATCATTTTGTCTTTATTTTTTAGTAGCCACATTTATTAATCCATGTCAATGTCAGCTTTATCTTTATTTTTTTTGGGAAGCACCTGCCACCATCGCCAACTACATCATCGTCCACAAGCATGACTGAAATAGATAAACCATTCCTCTTCCTCTAACCCCTAATTCTTCTTCCTTTAAATCAATTCTCACACTTTCCACCTCCTACCTCCCACGGTCCCACCACAATCATTACCATAATCGCCTGCCGCCCACCCTATCTCCACCTCCAACCACCACCACCACCACCACTGTTCATCTTCCTCTAACGAACACACCAAAATGAACACCAAATCACAAAAAATAATCGGAACAACAAGAACATCAGAATATTTGAATACACAAAAAAAACAAAAAATGAACACCATTCATCTTCCTTGAATACTTATACACTTATACTCCTAAAATCAGACACGAAAAGCAAAATCAAAGAACCAAAACTGAACTTCCAAATCAGAATAAAAAACCATTGAAGAAGAACAACATGAATTCAATGGTTTACATGAGGAAGAATAACAAAAAATCGATCTTGGAGGTCTACTTGAGAAGAAAACATGTTGGCAAAAAGCTCTGACGGTTCACTTGGTTCAGAATCACCTCTTTCCTCCATGAAGTTGAGCTCGTGAAACAATCGATGAACTCAATCTATGAAACTTTTACTCACCTACAATCAACGAATCAAAAAACCAAAACGCTTCACAAATCAGATCTCTGATTTTCTCTCTCTAGAAATGTTCTCTCTCCAAAACGCTTGAAGGAGACAGCTCGAGCAAACGTTGAGAGTAAGAGGTTGTAAGGTTGTAAAATCGTAATTCCGGTGGATTTACAAAGCTCACATATCTTCGTCTTCTTCAACTACAATATCTTTGATTTTCTTTATCTAGAAGCCTGTTCTCTCTAAAAATCAAACTTCACTAGAAATCCTTAGGAGGCGAAAGAGGATAAAAGGTATCAATAGAAGATTGAGGATGACAATGATAGTTGTTTAAGAACTAAGATGATGAAGTTTTGTTGTCGGTCATAAAAAATGAGATGGAGTTGGTGTTCAACAAAGCTGAAAGGTGGGTGATGCTTTCTATAAGAAGGTAAGGGTATATAGGGTTAAATTGTTTTCCAAGTAGATTAAATGAATGACTACCAAACAATATAAATTAATTATTAATACTATGTCAGCATTATAACCGGAAAGCCTTTTAAATCCAAAAATAATGGTTTAATTAACAGGTCAATAACGAATTTAATGACCTATCCACAAATCACAATACATAAAAATTCTGGAAACCAGAAAAACCGATGGTAGAATCGAAAATGATTCAACTTAGAAAGTAATTTTCAAAACATTGATATTGATATTAGCCTTATAGTATATATAATATGTGAAGTGATTCGTACACAACAATTTTTTGCCATATACAACAATTTATGCATTATAGAGTTGTACAGTACAACATTTTAAAACATCAATTGTTGTGTATGAAAAAAATTTATTGTTTACAAATCATCTCCCATATAATATAGATTTAAGAGAAGGCCCACCCAAACTTTGTGGGTGTGATGGGCTACAAGACCCACAACACATAGTTTACCAAAAAAAATAGTGATGCTGCATTAAGAATGATCCGATATTCTGTACGTCATGCTACTAGGAGGCAACCTTATTAGGTTTAAACCATAAAACATTCTGCTTCCTTTTGTATCATCAGAGATGTAGTTGTGCATTATGAACTATATATAGGCGCCATATCGTAAATGCATGGCAGAAGTAATTAGCTTACGTACGAAAGAGAAGATGGATGTTCAACATCTGAAATTTCTGAATTCCTCCTGCCATTTGAGCTTCTTTCAAGTTCGATTATTTAATTAACAAACACATAGAGAAGAATTAATACTAAACAACTAAAATTTTCATGAATTACCGTTATCGTTTTTTATACAGAAGTAATCAAATTTACGTATAAAAAAATATATTTTCCATATAATTATATACAGTCAAACTCAAAATTAATGAATCTTTTGAGTACTTGAGTTAGGATCTTGATGGAAATTCTTGGTTTGATCTTTGACTGATTCACCCAACAACTCCACCTCTTGTTCTACTTCTTCAACGTTATGTAGGAAATCTTCAACCAATTGAGCTTCTCTTGCTACTTCCTCCGCCACATCTTCCACAAACAAGGCGGCGTTTCTCCATTTACCACCATCAGGAAGATGATCCGCCACCTCTTTTGCCACCTTGTCTACCGTCTCCGCCACTTCCTCCACATACTCTACTATTTTCTCGGTTTCCTCAATCACAGTATCAACTTCATCTTTGCAAACAAAATGTTAAGCATGTTAATTAGTATTTATTACCAAAGATATTGAATATATTAGATATCAATTGTTTAATTTGTACCTTTAAATTTCAATAAGTTGCTCCATTTTCTACTGAAAAATGGTACGATCACGGTAGTTATTATTCTAAAAAGCCATTGTTGCCTGCAATTAAAAAAAAATACATAAGATAAGTTGTCATTTATAGAAGCTTGTTATGTTAGTTTCCAAGTATATATCAACCTAAATCAAACACTTCTTGTCGAATTAAAAAAAAAAAATATTCCAAAATCATAACTGACCATGAACTTGGAGAGTCACCGGTAGGAGGAGGAGGACGATGATGATTTCCTGGTTTAACACTGTACACCAAGAAGGCTCTACGATTTAATTGGCTGCTGGAAGTGAGAGTGCCTCCGACAAGCTGCGGTTTCTGAGGTTGGAGGCCAATTATAGCTGCCAGTTTCTTAGTGATTACCAGACGGGTAATAGGCAATCTCTGTAAATACTCAATGCTACTCATCATGTTACCATATCCAAGAACCAATGTTGTCGCCATTCTGTTAATTATCCGATCTTGAACTTGTGGATTTCGAAAACGAGAAAAAGGGTGAATATATAATGTTGGGATGTTTAAGTTTAACGTATTGTTTCTTGAAGAATCTCATTTATATATATACTTATCTATGTAGATTAAGATAAGGAATTAAGAGAAGATTAGGCTATAAAATTTGGCACAAGTGTCAACTTTGCATCATCGTACGACAATTCCACACGTTATGGATAAACCTGGTTGACACAAGTAATCGTAGGTTCCAAAACAAGAATCTGATTCGGATTTACGTTGCCTGGTCTGCCTTTGGCCCAAAGAAAAGGAAATTTCCAGTTCCAACTTCCAAAACCCGACTTCGGTCAATATATACAAATTCATATATATGCTTCTTAATTATATAGCATACATATGATATATGTACAGATATACATATATAGTGGGATATTATATCATCATGCCGCTTTCTATATGGACAAGTGGGCACGTAAACGTTTTCTGACACGAAGATGAAATCCCGGTCAAATTAATTGTGCATCAAGGTGAACAACTTATGTTGACTTCTTGGAAGATATTTGAAGAAGGAAGGAACAAACAATGTTTATAGAGGTAATCCTCATAATATAATCTTATTTTAGTTATTGAATTCTTTTTTATTTCCTGTGTAGCACTTAGTCGGAATTGAGCAACACTCTAGGATGCCAAAAACGGACGCTTTAAACAAGTTGAATTGGTATATGATGATAAAATAATAATAATTAATATATCTTTTAATTTGTCTCGGTCTGGTTGTTGTCTTTTTTTTTTTTTTTTTTTTTTTTTTTTTTTTTTTTTTTTTTTTATTATTATTATTATTATTATTATTATTATAACTAGCTAGTGATTATATTTTTCAGAAGAGGCATACCTAAGATTCTTTAGTAAATCCAAATTTATGAAACTATCTCATCAATATTTTGGTTATAGTACAAGAATGTAAAAAATATGCAAAACATATAGTATTAGGCATAGAATTTTTCTAATATACGTCGTAAAAGCATACATAAGAAAATATAATTGAAGTATTAATTATAATAAATATTATTATAATTAAATATGATAAATATTAATTATATGTAATATTATCATGATTAAATATAAATATGATAAATATTAATTATATGTAGTATTATCATGATTAAATATAAAATAAATTAATTATAAACAATATTAATATTAATTATATGTAATATTATCATGATTAAATATAAATATGATAAATATTAATTATATGTAATATTATCATGATTAAATATAAAATAAATTAATTATAAACAACATTATTTATAATTAATATTTATCATATTTAATTATTGTAATATTCCTCATAATTAATACTTCGATTAATATTTTTTTTTTATGTGTGAGCGTAGTTAGAGAATCCATTAGTTAAAATCAATAAAATATAGATAATTAAAATAAATTAATGTATATCAAACAAGGTAATATTAACTTATATTTAATACAAAGGTATTTAGTTGATTTTAACTATTATATATGGGTAATTATGCTTACAGTTGTTGTGTTATGTGTTTTAGGTACTAGCGAGGACCGGGGAAAGACGTCGGTGTGAATCGTACACATAGAGAGGAGATTTGATTTGTGATCTTGTGATATGTTTGATTTGATAACTATTGTGGAATACTTTTTGAGAATGTTTTATATTTAAAATTTGGTTGTTGAAAAATGAAAAAAATTTGTTTTGAAAATGTCGTCGTTACAAGTTGGTATTAGAGCCTTGGTTTGAGGGACTCGGATGCACCTTTGTGCGTATCTGAACTCAAACTGAGGATTTGAGAAATTTTCAACCAATAAGAACTGATTTTTCTAAAAAGAGTAATAAGTTTTGAAACAACCAGGGCGGAGCAGTGTGTACGGTCAGCCAGCGCCCGAACGGTGAATCCCGAAAATACCCTTACATTATGTGTTAGTAGATATGATATGTTATGTTATGCATGCTAGAGTAGGCTAGGTACTCATATTAGGACTAGAGTGGCCTGATTGTGATGCCTTAGCCTAGGAGATTACTGCTGCTATGAGATGCCTTGAGAGTGAATAGGTAGCAGTTAGGAGCTCATGAGAGGTCTATCGGGGGTAGCCAATGCATAGCGAGAGTAGAGTACTTGCGATCCGGGATCCAAGGAGGAGGACTTGGGGGTGAATGTTGATGCGGTGTGGTCAGTAGTATAGGGCCCATACTATTGAAGACACCGGATCAGTGAGCAGTCCAAGCAAGAACCCTTTGGATATTAGAGGACAAGTATGGTCGCGTTATCGAGTGCGAGTATGCTCGATCGAGTCTCTGATATTTTTATGTTGTATTTTAGAGACATCATGGTTGGGACACAACACACACCTGGGAGCAGTGGTGTCAGCGATGAGGAGATCCGTCGATTGATTCATGAGGAGGTGGCTGATGCCATCCGGGCCAAGATTTCAGAGATGTTCGGGGACATCAAGACCACATTGATTGAGACCTTTGATGAGCGGTATGCAGCAGTGACGGAGGTGATTCGTTGTTGTTTCGGGAGTTCAGTAACACGAAGCCACCAGAGTTGGATGGGATGCAGGACCCGATTGCTGCGATGAGGTGGATCTCTGATATCGAGGGACGTTTCTACACGTGTTCTTGTCCAGAGCACTTGAGGGTACGGTTCGCTCTGAACCAGCTTCGCTTAGGAACGAAGGGTTGGTGGAAGTTTGTTATGGCGAGCTTCACTCTGGCAGAGATTTCTTAGGTGACTTGGGAAAAGTTCACCACCATGTTTCGAGATGAGTACATTCCCCCTGTGGAAAGGGAACGACTGGCTCAGGAGTTTTTGACCCTCAAGCAGGGTACTGATTCAGTTACGGTGATTACGCAAAAGTTTCATGAGAGGGCGATGTTTTGCCCTGAGCAGGTGTCTACCGAGCAGGCTCGCATGAGCCGGTATCTGAGTGTTCTGAGGAGAGATATTCGGGAGTTCGTGGCGAACTCAACTTACCGGACATTTGCTGAGCTCCAAGCAAATGCCCGGAAGAGGGAGATTGAGTTGGAGACTCAGGCCAGGGAGGAGGCCAAGTCACAGAGGATGGATCGGCGGCCGACTCAATCTCAGCCGGCAGCCAAGCGGACCAGGCCCGCTGATTCGAGATCTGGGAGCGCAAAGGGCCGCAGTTGTGGGAAGTGAGGCAAGAGTCACGAGGGGTCGTGCAGGGCAGGAGTATGTTATAAGTGCGGGAAGGAGGGGGATATCGCGAGGGATTGTCCCAAGGTATTTTCTGTTTGCTTCCATTGCAACCAGACCGGCCATCGGAAGGCCGAGTGCCCTCAGTTACATCAGGGATCAGCTCAGGGATCTGCGCCTGCTGCTAGGGCTACCGAGGTTCGGCCAGTGGAGGCCGAGGCACCAAAGGCTCGCGGGAGAGCCTTCCAGTTGACAACGGAGGAGGTCCGCGCAGCACCCGACGTTGTGGTCGGTATGTATTCTTCTCTCTATTTATTTGAGTCTGAGATATTATGTTTATATTATGTTATGCGTAGGTACCTTTCTTGTGAATTCTGTACCTACCTTAGTGCTATTTGACTTGGGAGCGAGTCGATCTTTTGTGTCGTTAGCTATTAGTCATCATATCAGTATTTGTCGAGAGGATTTGAGTCGACCTCTACGAGTTTCTTTAGCTAACGAGCGAGCAGTGTATGCCACGGAGGTGATTCGAGGATGTAGACTTGAAATCTTTGGTGTGGGGTTCCCGATCGATCTAGTTCCGATTGCGATGGGGGACGTATGTGTCATAGTAGTCATGGATTGGTTGAGCCAATTTGGAGCTATTATAGACTGCGAGCATCTGCTGGTGACGATTTGAGACCCTAGTGGGGGAGTACTTACGGTGTACGGTGAGGGTACCCGTCTTGAGTCACCATTTTTTTTGGCTGCTAGGGCGAGGCAGAGTTTACAGTAGGGTTGTAGGGGGATTTGTGGCCTATGTGATAGACACGCGAGTGGCCGCTGGGAGGCCAAGTTCAATTGATGAGGTCCCGATTATGCGGGAGTTCCCTGATGTTTTCCCCCGAGGAGTTTCCGGGTGTGCCTCCCGAGAGGCAGGTGGAGTTTCGTTTCAACTTGGTGCCAGGGGCGACACCTATTGCCAAGGCACCCTATCGCCTTGCGCCGCCCGAGATTAAGGAGTTATCCTTGCAGCTTCAAGAGCTGTAGGGAAAGGTGTTTATCAGACCGAGTAGCTCACCATGGGCAGCGCCGATCCTTTTTGTCAAGAAGAAGGATGGTTCACACCGGATATGTATTGATTAACGGGAGTTGAACAAGTTGACGGTCAAGAACCGTTATCCGTTATCGAGGATCGACGATCTGTTCGATCAATTGTAGGGAGCGTCTTGGTTCTCCAAGATAGACTTGAGGTCGGGATATCACCAGATGAGGGTTTGGGATGAAGATATCCAAAAGACAATGTTCAGGACTTGTTACGGGCATTACGAGTTCGTGGTGATGCCTTTCAGGTTCACCAATGCACCAACAACGTTCATGGATCTCATGAACAGAGTGTGCAGGTTGATGTTGGATCGTTCGATGATCGTATTCATCGATGATATCTTGGTGTATTCGAGAGAGGATTTACGCCAAACTCTCCAAGTGTGAATTTGGTTATGGGAGGTCCAGTTCCTAGGGGATCTCGTTAACCAGAAGGGGATATTGGTCGATCCGGCAAAGACCGAGGCGGTGATGAGTTGGGATGTGCCGAGGTCACCTACCGAGATCAGGAGTTTCCTTGGGTTGGCTGGTTTCTATCGGAGATTTATCATGGATTTCTCTAACATTGTCGTGACCCTCACCAAGTTGACCCGGAAGGATGTTGCTTTTTCATGGGGTCCGGAGCAGCAGACCTCATTTGAGACACTTCGCCAGAGATTGTGCGAAGCTCTGGTGCTTGCATTCCCGGAAGGGATGGAGGATTTTGTGGTGTACTGTGATGCATCGATATCAGGGTGGGAGCGGTGCTTATGCAGAGGGGGCATGTGATAGCATATGCATCGAGGCAGCTGAAACCTCATGAGTTAAGGTATCCCAC